TACATTTTATGCACTGAGTGCATGGACTAGAATGAAAGGAGTATTTTTCTTTGTTTACTGATAAACCATTTGCTTCATCTGTTAAATAGAGATGATGATACTTGAGAATGGGCTAGGGTTGTGAGAAATTAAGTGAATAAACATAAATGTGTAGTACTGAGCCTAACACACATAGGTATCCAATGAGTGATGGTTGTTTCTCTCTTTCTCTGTCTCTCTCTCTTTTCTCTCTCTTTCTTAATAGAGAACTTGTGCCTTGAAAAATTAAACTGTGATGTTTTTTATATGGCAGATTTCCATGAAGAAAAAAATGTAATTATTGATTGAATTGTGCTGTTAGAATTAGAATTAGGTTCGTAACAAACAGGAACACTGATAAACTTGCAAAGAAAACAAAGCCAAAAATTGTACTTGTTATCCCCTTGTTGAATCTGGCCTTCTGTTTCAAATTAATTAGATTTTTTTGATAACTATGCTAAACTTTGTCATATCCTTATTAAAATTGTTTAAGGATTTTGAAGAACATCTCAGAGGGACTCTGAAACTAATCTGAGTCTGGTACTGGAGATTCCATTAGCAATCGCAAAACTGATTAATCTTTTACTCAGCTTATTGATTATTGCTGCAATTACTGCAAGTAACAGATTATGCAAGGGATAGCAACAGAAAGCACATTTTATAACTGCTGCTGATGTATTCAGTTTGAGCACAATATTTTGTACTCTTTCACATACATAATTATTTTTGCATTTTAAAATACTGGAACACTTCTACTAAGGTAGAAAGTGGTGTCCTTAATATTGTTTCAGTATTAGGAAATTTACTTTTTAATTTCTCAAACTAATGCATTACAGTTTACAAAGTGCCTTCACTAATTCTATCGCTGCAGTTTAATTTATGAGCCTCACAGTAACCCTATGTAGTAGTAAGAGTAGGTATTTTTACTCTCATTTGGGGAAACTACTATTCAAAAAGGTTAAATGACTTCCTGAAGGCTGCACAAGTTAACGAGTGGCAGAATCAGAATTCAGCCCCATTTCAATCAATAAGTATTTGTTGAATGCCTCCTGTGTGCAGAGCTTTGTGTTAGGGTTGTAATAAAAGCCAGGACAGGATTATAGAGCTAAAGATAAAGAAGTTATCTGGATAACTTCAAGTAATGGTTTCATTAATGTGATAATGGTCACTTTGTTACTTTTCTGTCCAAGTCATGTTAAGTATCTTGGTATACTAGGTATAGGGTTTTTTGTTTGCATCTTTGTTTTTGTCTAGTAGAAGTCTTTGTTATCACTACCTATTTTATCACTATTTAGAATGAAATTAGAGAGAATCCCTTTAAAAGAAGAATATATTTAAAAAGATAGAAGATCAAAATCAATCCATGAGTGGATTATTAAAATTTGGTATATGTCTACGATGGAATATTACTCAATCATAAGAAACGACAGTGATCTAGAACCTCTTATACTTTCCTGGACTAAACTTAAGCCCATTATCCAAAGTGAGGCACCACAAGATTGGAAGAATGGGCTCCACTAGTACTCTCCATCAAATCGGTACTAACTGATCAACACTAGGGTGATCACATGGCAGAAATACTCTCCAAGGATTAGGGGGATTGGTGGGGGGATAAATCTGCAACTAAAGGACATGGGGAGCACTGTAGGGGGGAAGGGCATGCCTTTAACTCTTGCTTGGGTGAGGCAAAGACATAAAGTGTACCCATAATGTTTGTACCCTCATAATACCCTGAAATAAAAAAAAAAAAAACTAAACTGAGCATAAAGGAACTCAAGAGGAAAACCAATGTGATTTTTACTGAAAAGAATAAAAACCATCATTTTAGTGGGCTGAACATGTGCAATCTTTTTTCTTTTCAGGCTCTTATACCAAACAACTGTAAACAATATATTAATGATTACATTTATAGGTGATTTTTATAGCTGCATTTTCTGGGATTAATAAATAACAAGCTTGAATATGTCTCTTCCTTTTTTGTAGATTGACCAGCTTTAATTACTAGTAAAATACTGCTATAGTAGGCATAAGATCTAAAAGCTATGATAACATTCAAATTTTGGTAATTCTTATTTGTAACAAAATGTTTGTATACATGGAGCATAGATACCTCATGTCTGGATGAATCTGTGTATTTTCAAACTAATGTGCCTGTTGATGGAAAATTTTTGAACTGCCAGGCACAAATAATGCTGTGGTAAATTACCTCCCTGTGGTAAACCAAAGGTGTGTTTGCCCAATATGATTAGATAGCCCTTCCCCAATCTCATTTAAAACCCCACGTTATTCATCCTAAAAAATATAAAATGATTTACTTTGTAATAAAGCTAGCAATTAAAAGCAGTAGGGTTATGAGATTTAATAAGTGGTGTTGAAATAGCTCTCTATGTTGAAGAAATAAAGTTATATCTTTCCCTTAAAAAGAAGTCTAAAAACAATTTGTTTTGCAGTTTATTAATTGCTATCTTATCTGTTTTCTAATGTGAGTCTCATAGCTGTCCTCTGGTGGATCCTATCTTCATTTTACAAATGAGTAAAGTGAGGCCCAGTGAGCCTTTCCTCACTGAGGTCAGGTGCTAGGAGATGGCTAGTGATGAGACATCTAGGTCTGAGCACTCTGACCCAGGGGTCAGTTGTGTAGAGTGGGCCCACACTGTGAGTTTATCACCCTGTTCTTGATGGTGAATTACTTTGCTATGTGGAACACAAGATTCCTCATTAATACAAACACAGATCAAACCCACTATTTCAGCAAGAGAAAATAAATATACTTGGATTTGGAGGAAATGTCAAAAACGAAAAACAAAACCTAATTACTTGTTTTAGAGACACTGGTAAGTGGCATGCTTGATATCATTACTGTGACTGCGTTAATCATAGTACAAAGAGATGTTTATGGATTGCTTAAAAATTCTCACAATGACTATAAAAGTATATATAGTTTGCCAGTTGATCTGGCACAAACCTAAAATGAAAGGGAGACTTTTTATTTATTTTGTGAGGTAAATAAATAAAACTGGAAAACAGGTCAATTTCATGCATGCAAGGTTTTATAGTAGGGAAAAAATGCATTGCACCTGTTCTGACCCTTTACATTTGAGGTTATTTGTTTTCAAACTTGACCCCAAGCACCAGTTTTAGACAACTCTATAATTAATTTGTTAGATAAAGCATAAAGATATTTTATTTGTCTTGATTTCTAGGACTATGATGAAGTAGTAACTGAAATTACTAACCCATTGTACATAGCAGTTAATTAAAGAAAAGCATTAACTATAGGAGAACACCACCATTGCTGTTGTCTTGTATCAGTACAAAAAGGCAGTAATTTTTTTGACAGCCACTGATTGGAAAGTTGCTTGCAGGCTCTCAGAAGCAAGGGGGTACATGCTGTGGATCAATAACCGGCAAATTTCCCATTAAAGAGAATACCTGTGCAATGTTCCAAATAGCCACTGGCATCTTAATTTTCCATGGAAACCTCAAATACTTGTGTGCTGAGGACAAGTCATTTTCGGACAATTTTTCCAGACTACTTGTTAACAGTTATTGCTGTCCCAAAAGGTTGACAGCCTACATGATTGATATTTCATTTACTTGTCATCACTGTTTGAGTAATGGCGAGTGCTGTATTTCTGTGGTTTTAAGGAACAGAATCTCCTGAAAGACATTTGCCTTAGTATGTATTCCAGAGAGTGTGTTGCACATGTTTATGCTGCGTGTATATACAGTTTTAGGTCTAGAGAAGGAGAGGATCACTTTCCTTTACAGTTTGAGAGCCTTTGGAGAGCAGGGTACACTTACGTCACTCCATAGCTATCAAAAGTCCATTTTCACTTTATTTGTTATTAGGGCAAAGAGCCTTAGACTTGTTAACTTGTGATTTCCAAGATGATATATAATAGAATTTTATAGCTCCCCTTTATTGGGGAATGAAAGCTTTGGTCTTATAGTAATTTTAATGTACATAAAAGCAATAGGGAAGATGTATGTGTTGTCTTCTAAAAAAACTTTTTTAGAATGTCAGCAACTAATAATAATCAAGGAGGAATTTCCTGAAAATGTGGTGGTTAAATAATATGCATATGTTTTTAATATAGAAACAGTAAGGATGAAAGGGGAGTTCTGCTTTTTGATAGCCCCTCAAAATACAAAGTCAGCACTTTTCATCGTATTTTTCCACCAAGAACATCAGTTTGTTGTGTCAAATGTTATAAGAAGTGAGAGTGCACAAGCCATCTCCAAGTTAGACATATACTTACCAGTTAGCATATTAAGGAACATGGGAATCAGACCGCATTATAACCTATGGAGTAATTTGTGTTCATGAAAGAGTGTGAAAGCTTTTTCATTTAGAACTTTATTTTTTGTGCCCAGAATTTTACAGTGAAATTTGATCTGTACTAAAGTGTTTATAAGGCTAAAGCATAAAAGGTACGTTTGCTTGAAACTAGGCTACCTTTTTATCATATTAATCCTGTCATCTTTGGATGGGTCATATCTTGTTTCCTGGTTCCACAGTCTTTCTGATTTAGATTTCCATTATTTGTATATTTTATAGACAAATGTGAATACTGTTTGATTAACTGGTATGTAGGTCCAAAACAATTGTGAAGCTTCTTCACTTTGCTTTGCAAAATTCAGGGGAAAAGAACAAGAGGCAATTTGAGAAATTGCTACTAAAATGTTTTATATGTCATTTTAAATACTTATTTAAAAAATTTCTTAAATCAAAAACTCATATAAAGTCTTAATCAACACTTTTAAGGATAATTGGCAGTGTGAAGGGTAACACTATACTGGAATTCTAATCCTGAATATTCACTGTAGTCATTTTAATGTGCAAATACAGGAAAAGTATTCTCAAGGCTGATATGTGTATACCAGCAATTTACAAAAGTACTATGAATTAAACAACCCATGAGTGTCTATTCCAGTATTCATACATTACTGAGTAATCTATTTCTATAATCTCTTTGCAGTATTATTCCACAGTAATGGAACAGCAAGTAAATGGACAGTTAATAGAGCCTCTGCAGATATTTCCAAGAGGTAATGTTGAGCAAATTCTAATCAACAATGATTATTTCAGTAAACTGTTTCATCAACAGTTATATTTTCCAAAGGTTTAAATGCACATAACATGATGTTTAGATTTTAATTTGAAAAACCAAAAGAAGTATTCATTATCATGGGGATTGCAAGCTATATTATAGTTATGGCAGATAAAATATCTAATTTACTAGAGTAAATTAAACTAACTAGATTGTTTTTTGTTTTTGAAGTACATACTTACATTAGCTTAAAGAACACTTTGGGGGCCCACATGGTTTCTAAACCAAGGCAAATGAATGACTTTAATTCTGGATATTTATAAACTGTGGCTCATGATGGTAGCCAAAGCTGCTATTGAGGAGAAAGCTTTCAGCTAGTACAGAAGCTAAGATTTACTGAGGGGTTTTAGGAAAGAAATTTTGGTGAAATGTTCAGTGCTTCAGTTTTTGAGGAGCTATTTTCTAAATAACAGAAAATCCTCATAAATGGAAATTTTATTGTTAAGTCTTCAAAAATATGAGCTGATTAGAGTAAGTCTTGGTGAATCACCTGGTCAAATAATTTTCTTTTTTCCTTGTAGGTTTGGCAGTACTAGCCTTGTAGATATGATTGTTCAACTGCGTATAAATGTTCCCTTAAAATTTGAATAATGGTGAAAAAGAACAGTTAATTATATAAACCATTAAGTCTTTCACCCATTATACATTGCTCCACTTGGAATCCATGTTTTCTAACTAATGGAACAGATAAGGAAATTCTCTAAGTAACCCTTCTAGAAATAACTTAATTGAAATAATTAAAAGTTAAACTTACCTTCGTTAACTGATACTGTACAAATAATCATGGTATGAGTTTTCCAATTAAACATTCTAGACTTTCATTACCTGTAACTTTGAAGTTTGAATGGCTCAATTAACCAGTAGGCTCCTACTTGCACTAATAAAGTCTCCAAAGACAGCTGGCTTGGCCAACCTCACAAGATACGGGTTCAAGAGTAATATTGCTCCTCTAGCATATATGTGGGCAGCAGAATTGGGAGTGCTTATTACTTTATTAATAACTTACTAAAGTGCTAAATAAGTAAAATTGGGCAATTTGGGACCAATGACAGTCCAAAACAAGGGTTATGATTTATCCAGTTATATTGTACCTGAAGACTAAATACCAAAACAGGAAAAAAAAAAAAAAGAAAGAGATAAAGAGAAAAAAATGTTGCCATTTCCATGTATTAGGCCAATAGCAAGGATGCACATCTTTTTTTACTGTTTGCAATAACTGGAGAATTTAGGCATGTTTCAGAATTATTTTTCTGCAAGGAATAGTTTTTTACAAGCTGAAAATTTCCATTAATTTCTTCCCTACTTGATAGCATTATAGCTCTGTTGTAGCAAATCCTAGTGCAGTATCCTAGGGAATTACAGTTCCAGTGTTGTGGGTCTTCATTTTTCTTTTCGATAAAATATTTACTTCTCTTCATCTGTAATCTTTTCAAGTTCTGTTTGTTTTCTTTCATTTCGTGAACAGTCCCTGTCATACTCACTGTCCATACCATTGTGCCCCCTCTGCAATAACAACAAAACCATTTTTAGACATCTGCTCAGTTCAGGCACTACTATTGCTGTATGTGTCATCATTTCTAATCCTCCCAACAGTTCTGCCTATTAGGTATTATTGCTTCCATTTCTTAGATGAGAATATTGAGGTTCAGGGAGGTTAAGTAACTTCAGAGTCACATAGCTTATAAGTGGTTAATATCCTTTTGAGTAAGAATTTCACTTAAATTATAATTTGCTTAAAGTGGAAGAGCATATAAATTAAAATATTAGTAAAATATGCATGGGGTGGTTTGGAGGGCTTGGTATACGGGCAGGGAGAAGATTTTATTATGGGGAGATGATACTTAAAAGAAGAAAATGTTTGAGATGGTAGTATCACATGCAGTCCTAGCATAAAACCTACTAGGTTACAATAAATTATTAAATATAGTCTTTCCAAGTCAAATTTTAAAATTTCAGAATATGTAAGATTCAGTCTTCCTATCTTTGTGGTTTTTTGTATGCTGTAGTACAATTCTTTCTAGTTTTTTGTGGTCTTCTCCTTTTTGCTACCTATCTACATTGAAAGTACATCTTATCATATAGATAAGTGAGATTATACAAATTTATTTATTTATTTTTTTTGAAGACAGAGTCTCACTCTGTTGCCTGGGCAAGAGTGTGGTGGTGTCAGCCTAGCTCACAACAACCTTGAACTCCTGGGCTAAAGCGATCCTTCTGCCTCAGCCTCCCGAGTAGCTGGGACTACAGCCATGCACCATCATTCCTGGCTAATTTTTTCTATATATTTTTAATTGTCCGAATAATTTCTATTTTTAGTAGAGACGGGGTCTCACTCTTGCTCAGGCTGGTCTCGAACTCCTGACCTCAAGCAATCCTCCCACCTCGGCCTCCCAGAGTGCTAGGATTACAGGCATGAGCCAGATTATACAGATTTATACAATTGGGGTTTTGACATATTTGGTACCTGGGCCTCCCTAGTTAAAGGCCCTCAGACCTTGGATTTCTTAGTCAGGCCCCATGTTAAGAAGAATCTTTAGAATGAACAAGTAGGAAGGATGGGAGAAAATGATTCTGTTTTAATAACATACATTTTCCTCATTCAAAGTAGCATGTTACGTTGAATAGTAACTGCCAGCTATGGCTAAGTCCTCTCTGTTGTTAAAAGATATGTTAAATAATAAATATGAAAATTTACTAGCTTTATAATGACTTCTGACTTTATAACTTTAGGAAATATGAAGTTATTGGGTTTTTTGAATACTGTTTAGATTTCCAGTTATAAAGATTTAAGAAGCCAGTTGAGGAATGAGGTAGATGTGAAGGTTAGAGATGAGAGTTTATGCTTGTCTCTGATTCCTTGGTTAGCTACTTTCCTTTAGTGAAGTTTATGAGTGCACTGGTTACTTCTATGGATATATTTTAAAGTATTGTTTTAGGAAGTGTTGATAGTCCCTTAAGGACCAGGCATCAAATGTATGTGGCTGTTATTTTGTTCAAAAAGTTAATTTCCATTTTAAGGAAAGAAGATGTGGATGATGATGATAATGATGATTATTAGAGATAGTGTCTCACTCTTGTCGCCCTGGCTAGAGTGCAGTGGCATCATCATAGCTCACTGCGATCTCAAATTCCTGGGCTCAAGCAATCCTCCTGCCTCAGCCTCCCAAGTAGCTGGGCCTACAGGTGCGAGCCACCACACCCAGCTAATTTTTCTATTTTTTGTAGAGACAGGGTCTTGTACTTGCTCAGGCTGGTCTCAAACTCCTGAGCTTAAGCCATCCTCCCGCTTCAGCCTGCCAGAGTGCTAGGATTACAGGCGTGCGCCACCGTGCCTGGCCTGGAGTCTTAATTTTACTGTGTTTTAAAAATACAAGTAAAAACCTTTTATTAAGGTTTAGGTATATTTTCTAGGAAAATAATATAATAAATTTGAATATATTTGAAATATACAAAATGAAAGCAACTGATGTGCTTTGTAATTATTACCCAAATCATCTTATTACTAAACAGCTTTATTTCTTATCAGAAACAGAGGAAGAATACATGTACATTTGAGAGAGGAGCAAAAAAAGTCAAATTCATTCTTCCCCAAATAATCAATCAAAACTGATGGCTCCTTAACATGCAATTTTTAGGGCTCTATAGTTTTCAAATGGAAGCAGTCTATAGTATGGGCAGGAGGCTTTTGTATTTTTAATATTTGATGAAGAAGCATTTGCTAAATTTAAAAAGTACTAATCTATAGCTTGAGATGGTGTCAGGAAGTTAGCATTATTTTTCCTGGCACTACTTTATCTTTAGAACTAAATATTAGCAGATGCTAAGATTTGCAAGATGTAATAAAATTAGTTATATATTTGTATTTTAATACATTTGACTGCTTATGGCTGTGCATACTAGTATTCAAACTTCAATATTTCATCTTAGAATCTCAAGTAATCTTTTTGGCATTAAAACATCCTTTTCTCACCCCACTCCCCCGTGCCAAGAAAACCTTAGCTATTTTCAAAGTAGTTTAAGTGCTAGCTGATACACAATGTAATAGAGTGAGGACAGATTGCAGAAATTTGAATTATGAAAGGAATCTAATCATTTTAGCTCAGTTAACTTGATTTTTATATGTTTTAAGCAGAAATTGGAATTTATATGAGGTGGTGTCAGAAAGCTCTTTGCATTTATAAATGCTCACTCCTGCAAGTTAAAACCTTGGTTCATAATTCCCACTTTGGGTCTTGGGAGCCACTTTTCAATCATTTCTCTCTGCTAATTTTGGTGTCACCCTCATTTCTTTTTAAACGATTCATTTTGAGCAAATTTGTAAATGGCCCTGATGTGTTCTACAATTTAGTCAATTACTGTTTCAGCCTGCAAGCCTCCTGGGGAACGGAACATACATGGCCTGAAGGTACGAATTTCAATAATTGTTTCAGTAAAGTTAGATGGATTTGTAATGCTGTGTTCCACTTATTGAAATGTCAAATAAAACTGCACTTTCTCAAGCTCTGACAAGCGATCCTTTTTTTTTTTTTCTTTTTTAAATGGGAAGTGGAGAGGGATTCATCTGTAGTATTTGCTCAATATGTGTATATATTGGATACTGCGGTTTTGATGCTGTATTTTTAATTATTTAAAATTGTTTTTTTGGTCAGCTTCTTCAGTATGATCATGGGTATTGGTCTCCACAAAGATTTATTTGAGTGAGAATATAGATTCATTTCAGCGATTAAGCACATAGGCATCTTGTACTTGGACTACCTCCCCCTCTTCTTTTTGACATATTTATGGTAGAAACATATATCTAGTTAATGTCTTTTTATTGTTCTGTGTATTTTGAATTCTGGATTTCTGCTTAGGGCTTCATCTCTGAAAGAACAGCTGGCTTTGATATTAGGTTCAAATATTCTATAGTTGATTATTTGGACTTCATTTTTTAGTGAATAAGAAACATTCTACAGGGTGTCCCAAAGTCGCCATACATAGGGAAAACGGGAAATTATAGCTAAATGTACCTTTATTTACAAAATATTCATTACAAAATTTTACAAAATTTTTCCTTCGTATGGAGACTTTTGGGACACCATGTACATGCAGTGTTCTGCTTGGTTGTAGAGATGAAAGGATATGATAACCTCTGGTTCACTAATAACTCCCGGATATATTCTTAATATACTTTTTTGAACATACTGTTTTTGTATGTGTTCTAGACAGTGAAATGAATTTTTTCCCTGTTTATCTTTCTTTTTTCCACACTGTTTAACTAAGTATTTGAATAATGACAGGAATAGAGTATTATGTAATATACAGGTTGTATGGTTCTGTAACCTATATACTAAATAGACTGTAACTGTGGGTCTGTCTAGCAACAAGCTAATTAACCTCCATAGTGAAATGTGAAATGTATGGCAAATTATAGGTTAATTAGAACTGTGTCCTCAGAACACAAGACTGATCAAGATTCTTTCTTTACTTATAGGTGAATACCCGGGCTGGACCCTCTCAACACAGCAGCCCAGCAGTTTCAGATTCACTTCCAAGCAATAGGTGAGAACAAGCAAGTGAAGTGCACCCCTGGTGTAATTATCTACAGAATTGGGGGTGGGGTGGTGAGGAAGAGGCTTGTGGGATGACATTTCTTTTTTATAAGACCAAAAAAGTATGTATGTGGCTAGAAAGAAATTTGACCAGATCACCCTAGCTATATATTGACCAAAGAGAAAGGACTTCATATAGAAAGATGAAATTAGAGATGTTAAAGTATTAATTTTGATCTGTGGAGTGGTTCTCCTTCATTCTCCGGATCATATAGAAAATTCAATGCCTTGGCTTTGACTATTTTCTGCCTTGATGATCTGTTTTGTCAATTGCAAAATGCTTTTTTTCTTTTTTTTTTTTTTGCTTGCCTATCTTTTGACAAGCATCATCATCCACTGGCATCTTCACCAGAAAGAGACAGGGAATAAGTAAAGTTGGGAAATTGAAATTGACCACCATGTTGCCTATTAGTGTCTTTGCTGTATAGGAAATTGAAGCTAAGAGGGAAGATAATTTTCATTAGTTTATGCTAATATTGCTGGAGTGGATACTAAAGACCTGAGCTTTTTCAAAGTGTTCTTACAAGCCTGAGAACTTACTTCCAGACTATCATGGTCCTCAAGTAGAAAGCACATCCTACTTAAGCTGATAGAATTCTAGGACATTTTGGTTTTGCATTCAGTTATTCAGCCAGTAAATATCATATTACTGTACTTGAGGGTGACATATGAACATGATTGTTCCATGTGTGCATATTCACATTGGTGACTGAAAAGCCAGCATGGAGCTAGAAAACCCTTGCATTCTATGTTGAGGTTTTCTGGGTTTAGGGTTTCAGCCAATTTTTTTCTGGGTTTAGGACTTTAGCCAATATTTATAAAGTGATACCCTATATTGGCTGAGATGTAGTTCAGGCTTCTACTTTACCTTCAAAGTCTCTCCCTCCCCTCTTAACCCACAGTCTTGGTTTTTGGCCAGCAGGCTTTACTGTAGGTAATTTAAAGTCTTGTCTCTCTCTTTACTTTCATGCCTCTTCCCCAAAGTCACTTCCCCGATTGCTTTATTATGATGTCAGTGTATCTACCCACCAGCTTTCCTGCTATGAACGTACTGCTCTTAAAGTATGTTTCCTTTTTAAACAATTTATTCTGTCTCAAAATACTATTGGTCTAGTTATTTGCCAGTGGATCATCTACCTTGTGGACAGGAGGGATAGATGTTCTCAAGAAAGGGCTTGGCCCTGCCAGGTGGTACTTTGCAGCTTCTCTCTCCGTGCATGTTGAGCATGTGAGCCATGGCCCAGCAGAGTAGAGGCATTGGGGCCGAGGGTCACTTGTTACACTCAGTTTAAAGAAGGCGGGGCATTTCATTATTACCACTATTTCCAGAAGAAGTGTTACTTATAGATTATGACCTCAGAGGAAGAACAAGGACTGTCCCTGGTGTTTTAAATCAGATTTCATCATGGTATAAAAAACAGAATTGAGCTGAAAAAATGGAAAGACAGAGAAGGTAATTCTCCCAGATTTGGTTTTTAGCAACATGAGTGAATTAGCTTTGTTATTCAAAAATTATATATTCACAGAGTATTATAAAGTTATTAGGTTGGACAGAGGTTCCAAAACCATCTGATGATCCACTGGTTCTCAGCCTTTTGTCAGTGGTAACTTCCCTTAGGGATATTATATCCTCCCAAATAATGATAGTTTGCTCCAGGAGTGATTTCTGTTATGAGAGGAATGTAATTTGAAAAAGTCCTACAAGTGATTTTAATATGCCACCCTAGGTTGGCCATGTTCTATGCCCCAGATTGATAACTAATCAACAGGTATTTATTGAATGCCTCCTGTTTATTAGGTACTGTCCTGCACAATAGAAATGCAGTGTGATCCTTTTCTTCTGAAGCTCACCATCTAATGGATGTACAGACAAAAAAACTATGCAAATAATTACACTTTATATTTAGCGTCATGAAGGGAACAAGCAGGACATGAAGAGAACAGACACCACACAGGAATGTGTTTAGATTTAGATTGGGTCCTCAGGGAAGACTCTCCAGGGAGAGCAATGTTTCCATCTAGACCTGAAGGACAAGAAGGACCTACTCATGGCAAGCAGCAAAGAAGGGCATTTCAGACAGAGGGAGGAGTGTAGTTGAAGGCCCTGAGGTGAGAAAGGAGCTTAGTGTGTTTGTAAGTAGGCCAATTTTGCTGGAGCCCAGACGGGTCCTGGGGTGGGGCAGAGCTATGGGGAGAAGAGGAAGAGCAATAGGAGTGACAGGACATAAGGGAGGTAGACAGCAGTCAGATTATGCAGGACCTTGCAGGCCCTTTAGCATTTTAATTTTCCTCTCAGTGCACTAGTGAGCCATTAGAGGGTTTTCTGCAGGAGAGTACCATGGTGGGCTCTATGTTTTTAAAAGATCTTCTGCCTGTGGGGTGGAGAATGAGTAGGAGAAACACTGAGCTAATCCTGCCCCCCTTTGGTGCTTGATTCCCCAGTCCTTGCTAAATAGTCATGCAGAGTCTTCCTGAGGATCTCTGTGGGAGGAATGCGCTTTATTGTCCAAGGCAGCCCTCTCCATTTTCCTTTAGCTATATCTTAGCAAGCTCTTCTTTGTGAACTGGGATTTGTCTCCCTTTAGCACCCACTTGTGATGACTCAGTTTAGTCCTAGAATGTGGCTGTTCCAGGTGATAGCTCTTCTGGTCATCTTTCCTCCAAACATACTACTTCTCCTAGATTTCCTGTCTCCAGATAACTTGCCGTCCTCTGTCACTGCTCCTAGGCCTTCCTCAGCCCCACATCCTTGCAGTTGTGGGTTCTACTTTCCGAGTAGCTCTGGGTCTGTCTACTTTCCAGCATTGTTGCTGTGCGGGTGGTTCAGGCTGTCCAGATCACTGCCACAGCCTCCTAATAGCTTCCTCCCTCCAGTCTTGCCCCATTTCAATCCCTCCTCCCTGCTGTAGCTGGAGTAATCTTGCTAGTGCACAGTTCTGAGCCATCATCCCCTAGTTGAAAACTCTTTATTGCTCTTCACACCATCAGGATAAAGTGCAATCTCCACAGCAGGTGAGCTGTGGCCTTTCACGTGTGGGTACTCTGCCCACTCCAGCTTGCTGGCCTGCCACTTTGCCCCTTCCCACCTGAAATTCCAGTTTTGCTGATGAACACATGGTGCCCTGAATGTATCACTTTCCTCTCACTGGTGGGCCTGCACATGTGCTACTGCCTCTTTCCTGTTTTCCTCCTCTTCTAATCCCCACCTTCACCTTCAATCTGGCTCATCTTGGTTGTCTTGGATGACCAAATTATCTTCTGATGAAAACTGTCCCTAATTACTACCCACCTCCCAGTCTATACCAGGTATTCCTTCTTTGAATTCTCATAATCCTCCCATGCTTCCTTTTATTGTAACAGTGAGCATATTGTATTATTATCACCTCTGTCCCCCAGTAGATTCTATACTCTTTGACGGCAGTGACTGTAGTGTATTCATTGTCGAAGTCCCAATTCCTAGCATGATGCTCAGCACATAGGTGACAGTCAATCGTGAATGAATGAATGAATACACTTACATACCCTTTAAATCTTGTCTCTGGATTAAATTCTCTCTCAGCTCATTCATCTGTACTGACATGACATTATTTCTAGTCTGCTTACCCTTGTACTCTTCTTTGGATATCTCAATGTCCCTCTTCAGGTGTCATACTGAGATTACAACTGTATCACATTTAAATTTTAAAAAGTTTTTGAAAGTGATTTTTGGATAGCTCAGGTCACTCTGACCATACAGATAAATGAAATACTGAGTAAACTGAGTCACAAAGAAATTGCCAGGATACAAAATGTTTTTTTACTGGACCAAGTTGGTAGCCAGATATTTAGCATAATGAATGAAATCGGTATTTTCCTCTGTTACTCTGAAAGCATGAGTTGTGTTTTGCCTTAGATGAATGAATATTTATTAAACTGAACTAATCCACATGGTTTTCCTAGGCCATAATTACTGAATTCAAGTCCCACTGTCAAGGAAGGGCCTTTCCTAAGCAACTTGACTTTCCCTTTCTATAAAATTAGGATGATTAAACTTTCCATCTAATTACCTCTGGTGTTAGGAAGATTGACGAAACTGTATTAAGGAATCATGTTTTGTTTCTTGGATGAAAGGTGTTTTGCAGATGCAATGAATCAAAACGTTATTATTTCAAGTTTATAACATAATGGAATATCTGTGAAGAAATGTTGCCTGGGCTTTGTTTGGTTATTAGTGACTTTACAATAATTGGAACTCTCAAATTGGGATTCATTTATAGGAATACTAGGATCTAAATGTTTCCTAGAAAAAAAGTGTGTGTGTGTGTATATGTGTGAGAGAGAGAGAGAGAAAGGTATGTACCTTAGTTTTGTCTATAAATTAGGTATAATAATAACTATACCCTAAGGGTATAGTTATTGTGAGGATTAAATTAGGATAAGTAATGGCATTTAGCACAGTGCCTGGCACATGGTTGTCACTTGATAAATGGTAGCTGCTATTATTATTTTGTTAACTGGACTGATTTTAGGCAGTTTATCAGCTTTAGTTCCATTCTACAAAATTCTTAACTTCCACTTTAGTGTCTGGATTCTTAGATTTGGTAGGACATTATTAAAGTCTAGAACCCTTGAGTAAGGACATATTTTATAAAATCTAGGAAAGTACGGACCAAGGCTCTATAATTTGCATTTGACCATAGCAAAAGTTTAAGATGTATTTAGAAAGAAGAAGAATAATAACTTGAAATGGTAAGTGTGGTCAAACTTAAAGTCTGAGATTTTCTCAAATGTAACCTATTAAAGGTTCCAGGCCGGGCGCGGTGGCTCACGCCTGTAATCCTAGCACTCTGGGAGGCCCAGGTGGGTGGATCGTTTGAGCTCAGGAGTTCGAGACCAGCCTGAGCAAGAGCGAGACCCTGTCTCTACTAAAAATAGAAAGAAATTGGCCAAACCACTAAAAATAGAAAAAATTAGCCGGGCATGGTGGTGCCTGCCTGTAGTCCCAGCTACCTGGGAGGCTGAGGCAGGAGGATCCCTTGAGCCCAGGAGTTTGAGGTTGCTGTGAGCTAGGTTGATGCCACGGCACTCTAGCCTGGGCAAGAGAGTGAGACTCTGTCTCAAAAAAAAAAAAAAAAGGTTCCAAATGGAGTATGTGTGTGTATATTTCATATTAGGTCATGAATCCTTTTGCTTTCTGATACATTTATGGTCTTTATGTCTTACTGCCTTACCACTGCTACTACCACAATATGATAAACAACAGGAGCAACGACCACCATTTATCAAACACTTAGCACATGCTAAGTCATTGGGCTAAGTTCAAGAGTGAGAAGGGAATGGAATATATAGAATAGGTAAGATTTTGTCTGTGTTCTCAGGGAGCTTCCAGTCTTGGAAGAGGGTATGGTGGGAAGAAAGACATCTACACTGATAACTAGCACAGGGGAGAGAGTTAATCTGGTATATAGGCAGAGGGTTAGAGTGGATAGATAAGAATAGAGTTAACAAGCTTTAAATTTCAAATAGAACATTGCTGGATGAAGGTGCTATTTCATATGCCACTCTACTGGCCAGGTAGATATTTGCAGACATAACTCATTCTAAACCTGGAAGGAGTTCAGAGCTCCCCTTGGCCCACCCCTCTTTCTTCAAGAAGGACTTTCATTAAACTCATCCACATAAATGTTAACATAGCCATATCATCCAGGAACATTTTAATATTCCTTAAATAGCTCTGGAAATTGACTACCTATAGGAAAGGAAAGAGAATGCAGCTGAAATTTATTAATTTTATTAATAAAAACATACCCACTATGTTCAAGATAATGCTAGATGTTTTGTAATATTTGATTTTCCTGGTTACCCTATAGTTGTTATTGTCCCATTTTATAGAAAGAGGAAATTGAGGTTGAGAGAGGATAAGTAATGTGTCCCAAATCACACAGCTAGTGAGTACCAGGATTTATTTTTACTACACATTTGCTTCCTAGGAAGCCGAATTATAGCTCTTAACTGTAGTAAGGACTTAAACCATGTATTTTATCTTTTTAAGTTCTGTAATCTTTGTTTGCTGTAAATATTCTGAGTGTGTTGTTAAATACTTTGTGCTTAGCAGATGAGAATGTCCATATAAAATGGCCACTGAAAGGCCACCCAGAGGCAGCAGAACTAAAAAAGTCACTGAGGTAGTCCATAAAATATTGTAGCTTCATTTTGTCTATCGGCCTTTTTATTGCTTTAGATTACTAATGGGGTTTTAGTCTCTTCATTGATACATTTGGCATGTGCCAGTTCCTTTTGAAAAAATTTTACGCAGGGAGAAGGATCCGAAGAGTATAGTTAGTGTCTACACCTAAAAGCAAAGGTGTATTTTAGTCTGGAATTTTGAATGGTATTCAAAGGTGTTGATCTTGCCACTAAAAATTATGTCTTTTTCTTTTCAGCCTAAAGAAATCTTCTGCTGAACTGAAAAAAATATTAGCCAATGGCCAGGTAGGTATTATTACATTTTAATATTTTCACGTAGTGGTAACTTATTACTGTCCAGTGTTTGTGTTCATAAACTTACTAAACAGTTAAAAAGTATGTGAATTTCTTCTTGTCATAAATGAGTAACATGGCTTAATTTGATTGGCAGCACAATTTGCAGCACGTTTTTCAAACTGTGCTAATGGGTTTCACTCCCAGCAGATTGAAGTACCATGCGCACACCCTGCTGCCATCTCAGTTTTAAAAAAGTTAATCAGTTCTGAACAAGTGTGTCAACCCATGGGTTGTTGAAATGGCCCTGCATTCTGAGGTGACGGTTTCTTTCATTATCTTTGGGGAGAAAAGGAAAAACTATTACTTTATTACCTTAGCTCCTTCTTTTGTCCTGAAACCAACACTGGCTTTTTAGGAGAACAGAGTGACAGCAGACCTTTGGCATTTAAAATTCCTGGCCTTCAGGAGACCTTGGTTTGCCTAGTCAACTGGCCATCTAAAGCTGAATGACCTAACCCTGTCAGTGAGGGACAAACGGGCCTGCAGGCCAGTTATTTCTCACTAATTTTGATTCAAGTAAATGGACACTTCTGAAATAGTGTAGTGCTTTTAAACATACACTGGTAAATTAAGCTACCTACAGGGTCCTCGATTCTTCAATAGCAACATAAATGCGTTTTAATGTTTGTTATAGTGGAAGCCCTTTGATAGCCTTGGAGGCAGGCGCCTGTCCATTGCGATCAAGCCTGCCTATTAGGCTCTATTGACTGAGACATCTGTGTCACCGCAAATAAAAGACTCTTATTGATTTTCTTAACTGCTGTTCACTTCCCGTCCATGTTTCGAAGCCTGAAATCTTAATTATCTCAGATGCTTATTCAGTGCCTTCACACGCTGACCTCTCCAAGCCTCATTGGCATTTCATGAATCAAGTACTTGTAGTGGAGCATGTCAAGAAGACAAAGCCAGGTCCTCATGCCTGTCCTTTAATATCACCTGTAACATTGCGGCCTAATAGATGTGTGTGCCTTAAAATGGTGATTGTATGGTAGTGCTTCTGGAAGCCTTGCTTATTTAGCACATAATTCCTTGAATGCAGTTAGAAAAAATTAAGTTGATCTGGTTCTGACATTTGATCATCATCGAGTGTGTGAATTCTAGTCTTTAAGTATTCTGTATACAGTTAAGGAGAATCTGGTGTTGTGTGTATAATCTTTATAGTGTTTAAATTTTAGATACTGTTTATCTAATACTTTTATATTTAAGCAGCCAAAGATTTGTTTAGATTGAGGTCCATGTCTGTATCACCCCAGTATCCTGTATGTGTTCAGAACCAGTATAAACAAAATCTGACTAAGAGCAGAAATAGTGAGCCCAGGATATTTATGTATCTTCAACATGCTTGAATTCTAGTTACTAATTGTAATTTATGTACAAGTCACTTGTGTTCTTCAGCTGGAAAATATATTTCAAAATTGACATAAATTAAGAAGCTTTAACTACATTTGTTCAGCCCAGGCAATGGAAAATAACCTGTCACAGATTCCTCTTTCAAAAATGAAAAACAAGGTCGGGCGCGGTGGCTCACGCCTGTAATCCTGGCACTTTGGGAGGCCGAGGCAGGAGGATTGCCTCAGGTCAGGAGTTTGAGACCAGCCTGAGTAACATAGCAAGACTCTGTCTCTACAAAAAATAAAAAAAAAAATTTTAAGCAGGTGTGGTGGCACATGCCTGTAGTCTCAGCTACTTGGGAGGATGAGGCAGGAGGATCGCTTGGGCCCAGGAGTTTGAGGTGGCAGTGAGCTATGATGACGCCACTGCACTGTAGCCCAGGCAACAAAGCAAGACCCTGCCTCAAAAAAGAAAAGAAAAGAAAAGAAAAGAAAAACAGTTTATTTTCACTGCAAAAAATAAGTATTCTGAAATGGTCCTAATGTTTTGACAGCAAACCTAGTACCATAAATGTTTTTAGTGGTCTCAGTTGTGAGGTTCTCTATTGTGGGAGATTGTCATAGCAATGATTTTTGACACTTAAAGATTGTTTATTGCTTTCCTTTGGGAATGTGATAACCCCACATTAAACAGTATGGCATTTTCTTTCTTTTAAGGATTAGCCTTTTTTATATTTACTTTCACTTAAAAAAATGCAAAAACCAACCCACTTTTGGAGGCTTTCAAAATACCTCCTACTAATTCCTCAATTCCTTGGTGCTGTAGAGTAAGTAACTAAACAGTGAGTGAAATTCCATTGCGGTGAGGTAATGTGCACAGTGTGGGCATCAATACATTTCTGGGCTGCACACTGACACCACTTGATATGAACGATGTGAGTCACATTTAACGATACTTTAACACTTGAGCATAGTTTTTTATTTCAGTGGTTTATCAAAGCATTAATAATGATTTGCCTTTCCACTAGCCTCCACTTAGATTTAATAAGGAATTCATATTAATCATTAAAAGAAAGGGACATGATTCTTCAAGATAATCAAATATTGACAGGTTAGAAATAGCTTTCTGCCTGGGTTCATTGATATAGGTTATGTGATATAAATATTTATTTCTTTTCTGTCACTCAGAGTAAATGCCACCAATTGATTCAGCATTGATATAGTGTCAACAGTTCATAAGAAACATTTGACTGGCTTGTGTTTTCCGATTAGTCTCTGCTCTATAAAGTGGGATTTACTAAATCTCTCCAATTGTCTGCTCATAGAGTGTGACTGCTTTCTGAAACCATTATTGCTTCGATTTGTGAAGCAAAGGTCTAGTGATAGGACTAGTTTCTGTCAGACCTTTACATATAAAATAAGGATTAATTGAGCATTTTTATTTTAATGATTTATAAGCGATAGATACTGATTCTTCTTAGCACAGGCAGACAATAAACAAAAGAATGTTTTCTTTACTGATCTGTAATTGAATTCCATTTCATTTTCCCCATAAATTTCGTTAATATTAATATATTAAATCAAGCACTTTTTTAAAAGTTTAACATTTGGTCTTTGGAATGGAGACATTGTTTTCCTGTTAACGCTTTAGATGGAGTATCTCATTTTTTCTAGCTTAAAAAAATAAATCAGAAGGTATTTTTGACATGTTTTATTGAGAACTATAAATCAGTCTCGCTGATGTGTTTTTCCTACTTCAGTTCTAGTGTGCATCATCTGTTTAACATTGGCCCTTGATTTGAAACTGATTAGAAGCAGCCCAAAGGGCCAATTTAGAGGATTTAAAAAGTGCACAGTTACTCTAAAGATATGTGACTTTGACCTTTGCATCTATAAGATTGTTTTCCCTGTTTTTCTTTTTAGATTTCGTAGGAGACGGTGACGATATTTTCTTATTCCTGTTAAGTCAAGATGTACTCATAAATGTACTGAGAAGTCACAGATCTAGAACTAATTCTGGTCCAGGTGCATCTTTGCCTATTATTTTGAGCACTTGAAATGCCTTTAGAAAAACTTTTTGTGTTTAGAAAAAAAAGAGTTGGGGGAAATAGGTATCTATTGTAAAGTTAGCTTTAAAAGCTGTATCATCACCAATATATAAAACTCTTAGGTACTTACAGTTTGTTTTGGATCCCATTCCATACGAAGACTGAAACATAAATGAGAGTATGTATGTAAGTCCAAACTACATGACACCCCCCTCTACCCGCATAAACACAGCCCGATTGCCGTGGGTTGCTGCTGTCTCCGTTCCTTTCATGAGCCCTGCCTTTCTTGCAGCAGGAGCAGAGCCTTGTGCCAGTCATTTCTCTAAGGTCGTTTGCCATCTTGGCAGTTGACAGGTAATTGTAACTCTTGTGGCTTTTTCTTCTTCCTCTCTCACAACTATTATTTTGCCTTTTATTTGCTTTTTTTTTTTAGTCAAAACAAGGACACTAAACTATACTTTAAAAACTATTTGGCATCATTATTGAATGAAAAACTTTACCTCTTTTCAATTTAAAGAGCTATGTGATTTTTAAAACATTTTTCATCTTAAAAACAAACATCATAGCTAATGAAATTGCTTTAAACTTGTGAGTGCTCTTCAGTTGATTGTTTACCTTCCTGTGAGCCAGTGGCCATTGACAGAGGAATGCCCCTCCAAACTTCCACCTGAGACAAACTGCTGATTTATAACACTGAGCTGGAGTTTACTGAAAGACTGAATTCTAGCCTTGACTAGTTGTTACTGACTAGTTATATAACCTAAATGAATTGAGCTAAACGGCCTTAAAATGCTATAAAATTCTGTGATTTTATGATACTTGATCCTAACTATTATATAATATTTAAATGCAGTACTCTGAAGGCTTTTAAAGCCCATTTTCTTATGTCACAAGCACTGTTCTATGCTTCATTTTGAAAAGTTGAATTAATATGCTCATCGAAACTAAAAAGGCAAAAATATTATTAGATGTTTGTGATCCCTTTAATGATTTTTTCATAGTTAAGATTAATTAAATCCGATTTTTTTTAATGTTAAAAAATTGTCAATCGATTCTTAGGCCAAAGGTCTGTATAACTTTAAAACTTCAAAACATTGTAGAAACAACACTTTAATCATTTTTTATGGATACTGTCCTTTAAAATAATTAATTAATTAATTAATTAATTAGAGATGGAGTCTCCTTATGTCTGGTCTTAAACTCCTGGCCTCAAGCAGTCCTCTCACCTCTGCCTTTCGAATTGCTGGGATTACAGGCATGAGCCACTGTACCCAGCCCTGGATACTGTCTTTTTAAGTGACATGGTTCTAGAACTTGCTCTTCAAAACCATCTTTATGTAACTCTTGCGATCTTCCTCATTATCTGAAGGATTCTATATATCTGTCTTGATTTTCTTCTGTCCTCGAATTTGCTTACATAGTGCTTAGCGCATATGCACATACACTTGCAACAAACAGCACTTTCCCCCTTCCCTTCTCCTCACTCTCCACCCGCTCCTGGGGCTCTCAGCCTATCTTCTAGCTCCTTGTTAGGTTGAAGTGCTGGGAAGGCAGGTTGGAGAGCTACTCC